ATTTGTATACATCCTAGAGTATTGACAGTGGACTATACCCTCTGGTCTAATTCTTCATCAGAATCAGCAAGCCCCAGCCCTCATTAAGGAACATTCTCTCACTGGCTGGTGATGTTTGTTGGAAGAGGAGGGAAACAATGCCAAGGGAATCAACCAATTCTTTCCCTTAATGTTCCCTCACATAAAGATGGTCCCATTGGGCAGCAGGGGTGCTGCGGCAGGATAGGAATCAGCAAATGTTACACCAGTTTGGTTTTCTGTCAACTCCAGAATGAATGGATAGCTGTGGCTGCAATGAAGAGCCCTAACAAACACCTCCCTTAAAATTGATGATAGATGGTCCTCATTGGCAGGAGGTTCTATAGAGAGGGCACTGCTACTGGACTACAAAGGCTGTAGACTTAGTTGCCACCTAATGAGCTTTCTACTCATGGCATTATCTTGGACAGATATATAATTAATAGAACACGGAGAAGATAGCCCATGGAATATTCAGTATGCATAGAATTGTATTTGACTGCCAACCAGACACCCTTTTGAGACTTGATAGAACCTTCTCTCCTGGACCAGTCCTAGTTGGGAGCCTGGCTGTTGCATTTGAGACCAGTTGCAGCATCTAAAGTATCTGCAACACCCATCTAGAAGAGTTGCTGAGGCTGGTCATCTGCATGTGTCTTCAGTTGCAGCTCTCATAATTCTCAGTCAGTGTGACTCATGCTAGGATTTGTACTTCAGCATATCTGAAGCTGGCACCAAGCTGGGGAAAATGTTATTAAAACTTGGACAGAAGATGGCGGGCTTTCATTTTCTAGGAACAGATTGAGCTAATATACCAGGCATAGTTGGGAAAACACATTCATTCTTTTCCACAGTCAGTACCTGAAAGTCAACAACACATGCCAAAAATATGTCCTCCCTCATAAGCTTCCAGGTACATTTAAATAGTATTTCACTGAATTCAGGACTATGTAATGCCACTATAGAGTACACAATGACCTCATATATAACTCATGCTAAGCACCAATCATTTTTAGAGCATGCATTAATGTGAGTAAAAAGCTGGGGGTGGGGGGAACCCCTTGGATTCCTACACTTGATGTCTTACAGCCTAGATTTTGACTGCTGCAAGACAAAAATGGAGAAATGGAGAACTCAAGATAGTGAGGTACATTTCTTTCCATAATTTATTATAATTGTTTTGATATATGTCTTAATTGCATCCTGTCAAGTAAAGTCCTAAATATTTCACTGGGTCTTTTCTTATCTCACAGCCAGTCTCTTCATGCACAAAATTTTCTTCCTCAGAAGTTAAGTGCCTTGCTATTATCTTCGTTTTCATTGATTTTGTATCTGGAAAAGCAACCAAAAACTTTGATTACTTTCATCAAATGCATTTTACACGGGACATAAAATGAGTCTATCCCAATGTTAATATCATGGGCTTGCTGGATTTTCAGCTGGGATGGACAAGTGTAAGGAACAGAGATATTTTTTGTGGTAGTACCAAGGGAGGACCTATCAGTTCCTCCTACTCTAGAAGATTAAAAAGTTGAAAATGTCGATCACATGTTTGAAACACCCCACAGTTCAAGCATGGGGGGGAAAAAACTGTTTCAATGCTGTTTCAATCCTCTGGGAAGTAATGTTGTGCACAGAGTGTTTTAAATTCAAACGCTTCCCAAATCACTGACACACCTTTTTTCAAATATTAAGTACCTGTTTCACACTAGAAACAACCACTTTAAAGTCACCTTATAACTAATCTCTCCATTCGGTGTTTAATTGCTTTTCCTCTGTTAGTTGCACTGAGTGTTTAAATAGAAAAAATGAATTGTAAATTTGAGGAAATAACAAGCAAGCAGCCACCGCCCTCTTTTACGTAAGACCTATAACAAAATGATGTGTACAGAAACATTATTTATGTATTTATTTATAGCTCTTATACGGCCACCCAATTCACGAAAATGTAACTGGATGGCATACAAAGAAAGAAAAAAAGAAAGTTAAAACCGCATGCGCGCGTGTGTGTATAATTATAATAAAATCTAACATTAAAAAAGGTAGACAATTAATGGCAAACATGGCTGAAATATACTATACCTCTGGAAAATGGGGGCTGTACTCATTCTGGCCCAAAGGTCAGGGGGAAGATCCAGATCTTCACCACCTTCCTGAAGGTTGAAGACAGACATACTGTACATCAGAGGGAAGACTGATCCAAGGGCCAAAGCCACCACTGAGAAGACATGCCTCCTAAGTCTCAAAAATGACACTGTTTCAAGAACTGGACCTGGAATGTATCCTTCCTATTGGGGCATATGGGAAAGCAAAACTTTAAAAAGTGTATGGCTTAATAATGAACTCCCACAAGGGGGAGCCCTGTTTTTTCTTCCTTTCCTTATTAATTCATATTTGCAAAGACTAAATGGACCGCTTCTAAAATAGGAATGAGAATCTACTAAATTACTTTCACAATTCTAGCCCATAGACACTGATCAAAGGCACACATAAGTATACAGTTCAATATAATACAACATTGTTTTAAATAAAATAGAAGCTGAGATTCTAAATTCCTTTGCCTCAGATTGGATTGTTAAATAGGTCTAATTTTCTCTTTTCTGGCCCTTGTCTTTTGGGATCCCTGTATTGATAAACAACCTTAACCAAAGCAGTGAGGTTTTAGCACTCCCATAACATGCTTACAATGAGATTTCGCATATGGGTATGTTTTAGGATCCTTGAACATTGCTGGTTCTTAGGTTGCTGGATCTAAAACTGAAAAGATGCTCTGAAACAGACATGGGCAATGGCATTGTGTGTCCTTGGCTCAAGCATGGGCTCAAGCATCCCAGGAACCTGTAGCTATCATGCGGGCCCAGAAAAAGACATAGCTTGTTGAAGGAGATGCCCACATATGTGATGTGCAAAACTACAAAGTGCAGCACATCCCTACTTGTTCTTTCCAAGATGGAAGTGCTGACCATGATTATTGGGTCAAAACTTAGAGAAAGCAGACACTCTTGATACAGCTCTTAAAAATAGTATTCCAACAAGTTCTAAAGTTCCAAGACATCACCCAGATGATCAATACCAAGAAAATCTTGCTGCTGGACCATAACATTTCATAAGAGGAGCTTGTTTCATGCTTCAGTAATAGTACTGCAGGTGAGTATGCCATCAGAAAGCAACATCAAATGAGTATGAAAAGATGCCTGCATTTGTAACATTCATTTTGTTACCAGGCCTAATACAGTGCAAATGTAACACCGAGCTGTATGACTCATCTTTCACTAATGGCTTTCATCAGTAGATGCCTGTGGAACCATATCTTACAGTTGGGTTAATTATAAAAATGCAAGTTAATTACATGCTTGTAATTCATACGGATGAATTAAATGTTTCATGTGTTGTGAAACTGTAAAGTTATCCCAACAATACAACCTAGCTTCTACTACAATGCCCCTCTTCCACTGTGGCTGACTGGTGTGGCAGTTGAAGGCAGCAGTTGAGATGGCTGGACTAGGACAGGTTGGGTGGCGTACCTTACTCTCTACCTTCTGCCGAGCGTGCCAAGGCAAAACAGCCACAGAACTAGGGTGGTTTCCAAACCAGCATTGTCCTGTAAGGTAGCTGCTTCCCTCTACCTAACAGTAGGGCTGGCTATGAACACATCTAGGGAGCACCAGGGTTGAGAAAAACCACTGTGACGTGTCCAGCTTTCTGTCAGCCGCACCCTGTCCTCATAAAGGTAAACTGGCATAACCCTAACCCTAACTCCTGCCAACTTCATGAACACATCCATATAGTTTTCCTGGCAACTGCACAAGACTGCTGTTATGGAGAACAATAGGAGGAGCGAATGCTATTTATGCCGTGCGGTGTTCATGGATGAAAGGCAGGATATAAAACAAATGAACAGGAAAATGATGAACGGCCTGCCTCTGGGAGACTTTTCCCGATTTCCTAAGAGAGTATAGAGCCCTAGTCTCCCACCTGAATAACAACCAGATCTGATCCTGCTTAACTGCCAAGACGAGCCAACCTCAGCTAGGCGTTGCCGCCCGCTGAGACCGCGCCTTTTCCCACGTTCTCAGATCAAGGTTAGCAGCGGAGTGAACGCCTCGCAGCGTTGCAGAAGCGCTCGCCCTTGATTTCTTCCGGGACCTTCCTTCGACGCTCAGCCTCGCCCAAAGCCCTACAGTTCCCAAGGGACCCACCCGGGGTCAGCTACCGCTCAGCTCCCGGATCAGCCAAGTTCAGCCTCCCGTCCTGTCCATAACTTTTGTTCCCAACTCATCGAGCTCGCCCATCTAGGAACACCCTTTCGAGGAAGGCGCCAGAACCGTGCGGGGCGCTTTGCTTCCGGGCGGGATCCAGTCCTCCCCCGCTGGCCCGGCGGAGGAAGGCAGCCAGGGGCCCGGCCGCCCGGGACCCCCCCTCCGGCCATTCCCAAAGGGGGGACGTCTGAGCTGCCCGCCGCGAGCGCCCGGGAGCCGCGGGCGCGGCAGGGAAGCGGGAGG